AGGTTGGGGAAATTCATCATGACTATCTCCTGTGGGAAGGACCCCACACTAGATCGGGGAAGAGCGTGAGGAGTCTTCCCCCTGTGGGGAAAAAAGTGGCGGAGACAATGTGATGAACTGACCACAGCTCCCACTTCCCAAAACCTTGCACTGCTGTAAAGCGAAGGGAGAGAAGCCCAGGAAAAAGGGAGGGGAGAATGTGTTTTAAGATTTAGGTTTGTTTCTCGTTATCTTGCTCTGATGTGATTGGTAATAAACTGAACTATGCCCCTCAGTTAACTCTGTCTTGCCTGTTATGGTAACCAGTGAGTAATTGCTCCCTTTCTTTATCTCGACCCGTGAGCCTTTCATTGCATTTTCCCTACCCCACCCAGCTGAGGAGGGTGGTGATAGAAGCTTTGGTGGGCACCTGGTGTCCAACCAGGGTCAGTGCAGTACAAACCTTTAAAACAGGGACTTCACCTGGTTCTCAGGATTAGCTGGTAGTGTTTAGGTGAATAATCAGTACAAGTCTGTCTTGTCGTGCAACGTTTAATCCTACAACGTGTTTAATACAGTATGGTTTTCTAAATGGAGTCTCAGAAGGTAAATTATTAAGTGATCTCAATGTCAGACAAAATTGTCATCTCTGATGTGATCCACTGGATTTTTTTTGCTTTCTGAAAGGCAGGAAAAGGGGCAGGAAAGGAGAGATCAAACCTGCCAAGTCAAAGTATCATTTGATACAAATTCAGCTGACAACTGAAACAGATCACTCCTTTCCTGGCTAAAGCCATGTCCGTTATAGCACTGAAGAATCATATTGGACATGGAAAGGAGCATGGTCAAGTGCACTCTAGTTTTAGCTATAAAGATTTCAAAATTATTCTGAGAGGGACAAGTGAAATAATATATAACATATTTGCATGGTTTGACACATTCATAGCTACGACATTCAGAATTGCATGGCATTCTAAGGGAGCATCGGGTTGCTTTTGATTTATTTTTTTATTTTTAGTTATAGTTTTTCAGTTTAAAAGCTACAGGGCACTGTACATTCTTGTAAAGCATTTATGGGAAGATTCAAAGCTGCAGAACTTTGTACAAACTGATTTGCATTTCAAAGCAGTGGAGATGGCTGTTTTGGGTGAGATCACACAGAACTATTAACTAATAACTTTAATGAGCTTTCATAATTGCATAGCTGAACTTTGACTAGGATCCTCTTTTGAAAAAGAGTATCAGCCAACAGTAACTTGACTCTTGACACTTTGGACTTAAGAAACAAGGCCAGAGAAAGAAAAAAAAGAAGGCAATTAGTTTATTTTTATTTTTTAATGAGGAATTCCTTTATATATGTAATTTATTAAAGCATTATAAATACTCCAGAAAGGTTGTAAAAACAATTTTACAGGTTCTCATTCACATTCAAGCATAGAGAAACTGTCAGTTCATAATTATTTATTATGTTTTTTGAATTTTGGGCCCAATAAGCTATAATTTTAGAGAAGTAGTCTCTAGTGCAATACATGGTACAATCACAAAGCACTAAGATTATGCTTTTAGGTTACATCTATGCACAAATACATATATATGTACCTACTTGTATGCACACACTTTAATTTCTTGAATGTATCACAGTGAAGAGAGGGATGCAAGGAAGGACAATGAGGTAATCCTGCAGATGTTTAGAGGGAATTTTTAACTGGCAAAGGATAAGGTACTTTGTGCTGGTTGTTTAAGAAGGAATGGAAAGCAACATAATTCAGCACAGTGACAGTGAAGTAGCCAATTAATTAACATCACATAAGTTTAAAGAAATGTGTGAAATAATTTTTCACTGCAAGAAATCTACCTTTTAATGACATAATTTCACTCTGATTTTTAAGGAGTAGCATTTTTGATTAATGGATGTACAATGAGATAAGGTTACTTTTTATTTCATTTTTTTAATGAAGATAGTAATTTTCCCACAAAGCAGTTCAAAGCTAAGAGTGTAGTCACACATTTCTTTACCAGGAAGTGTGGTAGTACCATCTGTGTCAACGTAAATTGAAATAATAAATTTAATTTATGTTTTCCTCTAACCAGTACTTAACTTCTAACCCTGATCCAAGTAAACTTTACTTTTCTGACTTGCTATTTAATATAAATTATTGGTTCTCCTTATTGAAATGTAATTCACTCCAGCTTATATCTCAGTCCTGAATCTTTCTTGCCTGCAAATGCGTACACACACATGCGCACACCATTATAGATTAATACATATCCATCTCCATATCTGTGCATACCTTTCGCAGAAGACTACTGTTAATGTCTGAAGTGCCTTATTAACATTACTTTTCTTTATTCCAGACAGAGACAAAAAATCCTTTTATCACATTTTATACTGTCCATTTTATACTTTACACTCCTCAGAAGTTTTACTTACTAGGTGGATTGGATAGCTGCAAAATTGTTTCATAATTTTACTATCTAAAATGACCACTCTAGGGGTGCTTACCTTCCACTGAACCTGTTTACCTTGTGCTTCATACATTAGACAGCTAAGGAAGGAAATGAAATCCCTGTGTGCTAGAAGTATCAGTATGAAAGCACTAATCTCACAGACTGAGTTCTGAAAGCAATAATCAGAACACCCAAAAATCTCTCTGGTCTGAATTCATTGCAAACACCTAATTCACAGACCCCTATAGATTTCCAGTTTTAACTTAGTGCCTAATGAAGTGAAGTTTACCTCTCAAAACCTTTGTCACAGCTGGACATAACTAGCAATAGTTACTTGCAAGACTATAACTTAAGGGGGAAACTAGATCTCAGCAGGTCGTTGTTCTAGAACAAAGTCAAAATGTGCTTTTATAGGTAATATCGTACAGAGTAGTCTTCATCCAGGCCTCCAGTCTACATGTCAAAATCAGCATCCAATTTGCCTCTTATTGTTAGTCTCTGCATAGATGTGTCAGAATGGAAATACAAAGCCACATCAGTCAAGAGTGAAATTCTTCCACAGAGTTATGAGAGGAGTAATATGTGCACCATTCATTTATGGTCAGTCGAAGAAAACAATTTTTATGTGGCTCCAAATAATTTCTTGCTCACTCAAACAATCAAAACAGTTTTTAACAGTCAAAACACAACAGCTGTTGATTTCTCAGTACAATTACAATAATGCTAATGCTTACAATCCAAACCACCCAGCTTCTGTTGAGAATTGTTAATGTTACAATAAGATTAATAGATCCAAATATTTGCTCTTTTTCTTGCATCTTGAATCTCCACTCTTCTGATCATCCACAGTCTGAGAGGTCAACTCTCCTCTGTCAGGCAGAATGATTACCACGTTCCAAGTTGTGTGCCAGGGGAGTAAGGTGTTGCTCCAGCATAGTTACTGGTGGGACTTTCTTCTTCATCAGTTTGTGATTTGCTCAGTATTATTTTTATGTGGTTCAAACAGGTTATTTGCTAAAACAACTGTCTGATTTCCTCATAAATTTACTTATACCATAATTCATTTAAGCGTATTTATCCTCCGTGTACAGGAGGATTTCTTTTACATTACAATCCATGTGACAGCACATAGACAAATTACTCAAATAGAAGTTGAAAACTTCTTAGGTAGTAGCCAGATGATTCTCTAAGCCCAAACACACAGATAAGGTGGTGGATGCTTGGTCATTGGGTAATTTTGTCATTATGGGTAGGACCAGATGGGCAATATTCATCTGTTCAGACCTGACAGGTAATTACAGGTGGAAGTTATGTAAACATATTTTCAGCTAAAATGAACCCAAGTTAACCAATCCAGAAAAGGCTGAGGTACACTATAAGGCTTATTAATATCATGAAGCCAAAATCCCAACACTGTCACTCATCAAGTTGGCTGCACCATAGGAGTTCAGGCACTTCCATTGTCCTTGCTTGCAGTTTGCTTTAGTCTGAAAGTGTCTCAGACACACCTTCCTTTGATGAACACCTATATTCTTTTCTTCTTCTTCTTTTGAAATGAGTTATTGGGTGTCTTCATTTAGTAGCTACTGACGAAAAAGTCTCTGGCCTTTGGTGACTAAATATGAAAAGTACACCCTTCGGATAAGGGGATTTAATTTAATAGATGTTATCTTGTCTTCTTTTATCCTCATTTTTAACCTGAAGGCGGGAATTAATAAATTGCTTACTAATTCTGATTCCCATTGAATCTCTGGTTCCTCTTTGGACATTGCACTGCTTAAACACAGGCAGACCATGTTATCTTGGTTTTTGTCCTTCTAAAAACTAGTTTACATATCTTGGAAGTACAAAGATGTATTCTGTAAAACCTTCTTAAGTCTTGGGTTCTAAAAATCACATGAAATACCTCTGTGCAGTAAAAGCAAAGAACCAATTTGTCCTTATTACAAATTCTAAACAGAGACGCACCAGTTCTTCCTTCCTCATCTGAGCCACTGCGTACGCATATGTGTGAACAAGCTCCATCTATTTATAGCTTTAATATATGCAATAAATGTTAAAAGGAATCTTTTCATTGTTAAGGAGCTCCTGTTCTTGATTATAATACATCATTAAGATTTGCCTTAAAACATTAACGGGAATAAGAAAGGCAAAAGCTTAGTTTCATATCACCTCACAGAGGTCCAATGCTGTAAATTTATCACAAATCCTATTAGCCCTTTTTGCAGAGTGTGTGGTGTTTATCTCAGGGTTAATTATAGCACTGTCTTGAGGAAACCCACTGAGAGTGAGAAAAGACTGAAATCTAACCTTCTTTACTGTTTGCAGTAGGAAAAGCTGTTTTGTCTCCTCTGACATCTGGAGAAAAATGCTGGATAAACAGCCCCTTTGGCTAGCCCATTGATATTGAAGGAAAATCTGCTTTTTTTGTTGGTCTTGCCATTCACAGTAGGTTTTACTGTTTCGTTTCAAATGAGAACGTGTGTTTGCTTTGAAATGGTACTGTAAAATTGGCTGAGTTCTCCCTTTTCTGCAGACTTAACTTCTCCCCTTTCCCATCCTCATCCCCACAGGCCCGTGACGGAGGGTTAGCCCAGATCAGTGGAGTCATGCGTCACACAGCTCTGTCATGCTGGCAGCCGTTCCTGGGTCTGGCTGTGCTGCTAATCTTCACAGGCCCCACCATGGGCTGCCCGGCCCGCTGTGAGTGCTCGGCACAGAACAAGTCTGTCAGCTGTCACCGAAGGCGTCTGATGTCCATCCCAGAGGGCATTCCCATTGAGACCAAAATCTTGGACCTCAGCAAGAACCGACTGAAGAGCGTAAACCCTGAGGAATTCACATCGTACCCTTTGCTGGAGGAGATTGACCTCAGTGACAATATTGTCTCCAATGTGGAGCCTGGAGCCTTTAACAATCTCTTCAACTTGCGCTCCCTCCGGCTGAAAGGAAACCGTCTGAAGCTGGTCCCCCTTGGGGTGTTCACTGGGTTATCAAACTTAACAAAGCTTGATATAAGTGAAAACAAGATTGTCATTTTGCTGGACTACATGTTCCAAGATCTGCATAACCTTAAATCGTTGGAGGTTGGGGACAATGATTTGGTGTATATATCACACAGGGCCTTCAGTGGGCTGCTTAGCTTGGAGCAGCTCACCCTGGAGAGATGTAACCTCACAGCCGTACCAACAGAAGCTCTTTCTCACCTCCACAACCTCATCAGTCTGCATTTGAAACAGCTCAACATTAACGCTTTGCCGGCGTATGCCTTTAAAAGACTGTTTCGCCTGAAAGACCTACAGATAGAGGCCTGGCCCCTCCTGGACATGCTGCCTGCCAACAGTTTGTATGGTCTCAATCTTACTTCTCTCTCCATCACCAACACCAACCTGTCTGCGGTACCTTATTCTGCTTTTAAACACCTGGTTTACCTGACACATCTCAACCTCTCTTACAACCCCATTAGCACCATCGAAGCAGGCATGCTGTCAGATTTAGTGCGCCTGCAGGAGCTCCACATGGTGGGGGCCCAGCTGCGCACCATTGAACCACACGCTTTCCAAGGGCTTCGATTCTTACGTGTGCTTAACGTGTCCCAAAACCTGCTAGAAACCCTAGAAGAGAATGTATTCCATTCCTCCAAAAGCCTTGAGGTCCTCTGTATTAACAACAACCCTCTAGCCTGCGACTGCCGTCTCCTCTGGATTTTGCAGCGGCAGCCCACCCTGCAGTTCGGGGGTGAGCCACCAATGTGTGCTGGCCCAGACAGTGTAAGAGAGAGGTCATTCAGAGACTTTCACAGCACAGCTCTTTCCTTTTACTTCACCTGCAAGAAACCCAAGATACAAGACAAGAAGTTGCAGTACCTGGTGGTGGAGGAAGGGCAGACAGTGCAGTTGATGTGCAATGCTGATGGGGACCCGCAGCCTACCATCTCCTGGGTTACCCCACGCCGGAGGCTGATCACAACTAAATCAAATGGTAGAGCCACGGTGCTGGGAGACGGCACCCTGGAGATCCGATTTGCTCAAGACCAGGACACTGGGATCTACGTCTGTATTGCAAGTAACGCAGCTGGGAATGACACCTATTCAGCCTCCCTTATGGTAAAAGGGTTTACTTCAGATCGTTTCCTTTATGCCAACAGGACCCCTATGTATATGACAGACTCCAACGACACAAGTTCCAATGGAACTAATGCGAACAGCTACTCTCTGGACCTTAAGACAATATTGGTGTCCACAGCTATGGGCTGTTTCACATTCCTTGGAGTGGTTTTATTTTGTTTCCTTCTTCTTTTTGTTTGGAGCCGAGGGAAAGGCAAACACAAAACCAGCATTGACCTTGAATATGTCCCTCGCAAAAACAATGGTGCTGTGGTTGAAGGGGAGGTTTCTGGACCACGACGGTTCAATATGAAAATGATTTGATGGTATTCTGCTAGCAGTGCTTTTTCTGTGGCATTAAAACCTATTAAAACAGCCTGGCATGTGGAATCGCTAGGCAAAAGCAGCTTAATGCAGCTGTCAGTGTATCAAAAGGTTGTAGGAAAATGGAAAGACTATTTGTGGTTATACAACAGAGCCTCCAGACCTTGAGGCAGATGTGTCAGGGCCTTTCATAGAACTGGGAAATTGTACTAACTGTTTGCATTGCAAATATTGGCATTCTGGGGATATCAGCAATGAACCACTGGCTCATGCTCATGGACAATTGTTCAACATTTTCTACTGCTACAAAAGAAAAAAGAAAAAAAACAAACAAAAACCTACAGTGTAGGATTTACATACTTAAAGAAAAAGACACATTTGTCTAAAACATACTCTACAGTGACATTTGTATCTATATATCTCATTTGGTAAAACTTTGCATCCTCCCTTCTAGTTGGTTCAACACTACAAAAAAATTAGTAGTTTTTTTTCTTTTTAATCTACATCTATACTGTGTACATTTTAAAGCAATACAAATGAGAGGTTGTGCTTTTAGATATCCACCAATACTGACCCAAGTGTGATGTCACCCTTCTTTTAACTACCATCAAACTTAAATTAGATTCTTGTAGTTACTAATTAGAAATTACATAAGGTATTTTTCTCCTCATGTAGAAGGCCAGAGCTGAATAACTGAGAGTAAAAACAATCAACTCTGTCAATCTTCTCTTCGTATAAATATAAGGCATGTGCCTAGTTTTGATACAGAATGGAATATTTTTTATATCTGTGATATCACACTGGACCAGTTTACTGTAACATAGCCCTGGCTCTCACCCAGGGAAGGCAACCCACTAGTCAATGCTGGCATAGAGGAGTTGAGTTCTACCTTGAAGAGAGAGAATCGGTTTTGTTAGCCCTGATTTTAATTTCAAAGCTACTGTTAAAATGTTAATGTGTACCGGGCAAAATAAAGAGCATAATACATTCTGCAGACTCCTTGGGAAAGATGGTCATCTTACTATTTATACAAATGTATTAAAACATACAAACACTCTGCTACTAGGAATGAACTCTTCTCCAATGCCAAGTAAACTACAGTTGTTCATGCATAATATGGGGATTATAATACTAAAATAATGATTAAAACATGATAGCCTCAAAAAGGCTAACATACTGCCAGATATAATGAACCTCTAGCCACTGTCATTCTCATCTTGTATATTTGTAGATAACACACAGACACAAAGCTAATTTCCAAGAACAGATTACTTAGCTATTCTTGATGCCATTTTAATAACAATGTGGTTATGTTTCTTTCAGGGGCAGTATCTTAGAGCAAGAGGGGTGAGTTATTCCAGATTTTAGAAATCATTTTTAATGGAGAGAAGTCAGAAGTGAAATATTAGTTCAGTACAAGTAACCTTTTGTTTGTTTGTTTTACATCTCTAAACAAATTATTGAAAGACTGAGAACTGAAACTTTATTCTTAATCATTAATATCACTATTCCTATTTTGAAATTCTCAGCAATTGCAAGATATGAAGTTGTTCATCACTTCTCCTTTTTCCAGCAATTAGGAGCCATAAGTTTGTCCTACATGGCTGATAACAAATACAATTTTTCAATGATTGGCATAACTCGGAGTAAGGATAACAATGACTATATATATATATTTAATCAAAAAGAATATGAAAATATTATAAGACAGAACATTTGGATTACTGTGATTTAAGAGCCCATGTTCAATCTTAATATTAGATTTCAGCACTTTGAAACCAAAGTCAGGCTGACCTATAATGGAATGCAGGTGCTTCTAAAATTAGTATCCACATTCTTAGGCAGAGATTTTCAAAGCAGGATAACAATCTCCCACTCCTATCAAGGGAAATGTGTCAGAAGTTGTAAAATCCAGCTGTGCTCCCCAAATGTACCCATAACAAAGCTGCAGGACCCAAGGCTAGACAATTTTGAGAATCTCTTTTCTTAGTGGTTGATATTTGGTTGCATCGTTGTTCCATTTTATGTTGCCAAACTGAGGAGGTTGCAACAGTTGTTAGAATTTTGTTCACTTAAGTTGATTTTAAGTTTAGAGCTGGGTTTTCTTGCTTCCTTTTTTTTTTGCTCTGAACTAGATAGGTGAAGATTTATAGAGATGCTTGATCAGAATACTCTTTGTTCTACGACAGTTTGTAGAACATTAAAAAAATGGAATAACCCCTGACTAAATTCTAACACCAGGGAAATTATTTTTGTTGATGTAATAACCACTGCACTGACGTCCAAAACTCTACTGTACCTTAATGTGGGCAGTTAAAGAAACAAATGGGGATAAAAAAAATGTTTCTGAACTGTCCATTGAAGACATTTGCATGTGCCTTTCCCTTGTAATTGTCATTTTTTCAACTAGTAATCCATTGCCCCTGCAGTCATTTCATGTTAAATGTTGAAATCAATGTTAGAAGCAAAAAGTCTCCTAAGTTCTAGACATTTGCAGCTGATTTCTTCATATTAAATGACACAATGAAAAAATTCTGAAAAAAAAAACACCCTAGAAAAAATGTACTTTTAGGGTTAATTATGAATTGCTGTATTCCCTTACTCCCTTAGAATGACTCTAAGAAGTGATTGCATTGTTAGTGCACTGCAAGGATTTGTGAGCAGAAATATGCTTAGTTACCTATGTGAAATGTGTGCTGGTGATGAAAATCACCACTTGCTGTTGCTGAGCACCACCTTGCAGATCTGTCAACGTTCTGTGTATTGCCTTGAGTTCAGTCAGTATTCAGTTTTTCAGAATCAGTGTTTGCTTCCTGCCTCTAGTGATGTTCTTCTTTTTGCAGCCTACTTATTTCAGCATGGACTTGACAAGGCATATGGCATCTCTTAACAGAAGTGAGGACAGCAAGACTCAGAGACACGCTTTTTATCTTGCTCCACGCGGTCTCCTTTTTTATGTATCTGTGGGGCACACACTCACTGTGGCTCTTTTGGGCGGATAAGGAATACAGTGCCAAGGTCGCGCCTAGATAAGCACCTTTTTGGCAATTCTTTTAAGAACAGAATGGCTGAATGCCTACGTGCTTCTTGAAGGAGTCACTTCTACTTCTCTGCTAGAGATCAAGGGGACACCCCAGTTTATTTTACTGCAGGGGAGAAAAAGGACTGGGCTGTAAGGAGGCATCTGACCAACATGGCTCCCCGATCATATATTCAGAAACAGGTGGATAGTGCACACCTGGTACTAAAAGTGGGAACAAAGGTTTTAAGCTACCTCTGACTTTTGTACAGGCTGGCCCCCATACTGGCACAAGCCTGAACTTACCTGGCAGTCAGTGCAAGAAAACTCTGAGGAGCAGCAACAGTTCTGCAGAAATGGAAAAAACAGAAAATGTCAAAACCAGCAAAGGAACTTGAGAAAGCAGGTACCAAAATATCCTTGTCATAATTCCTTTAAGAGAATGCTTGAGCCTCCCACAAATATGTTTTGAAGTCCACTTCCACAGACCAGTACTGTTCTTTCAGAATAGATGAATGTACAAGTGTTTACAGAATCACACTGAATCATGGAATTATTTAGGTTGGAAAAGACCTCCAAGATTATGAAGTCCAACCTTTGACCTTGCCAATTAGACCATGGCACTAAGTGCTACACCCAGTCATTTACTGAACACCTTCAGGGATAGTGACTCCACCACTTTCCTGGGCAGTGCATTTCAATGTTTAACAAATATTTCTGTGAAGAAATTCCTCCTGATGTCCAACCTGAATCTCACCTGGCACAGTGGTGAGGCTGTGCTCTCTTATGCTGTAACTTAGTTGCCAGAGAGAAGAGACCGACCCCCATCTTGCTACAGCCTCCTTTCAGGTAGTTGTAGAGAGTGATAAGGAACCCCCATGAGCCTCCTTTTCTCCAGGATAAACAACCCTAGCTCCTTCAGCAATTCCTCATAGGACTTACTCTATATATTCTCCAGCAGTTCCTTGGCCCTTCTCTGGACATGCTCCAGGACCTCAACATCTTTCCTGTAGTGAGGGGCCCAAGACTGAACACAGGATTCAAGGTGTGGCCTCACCAGTGCCAACTACAGAGGGACAATCCCTTCCTTGGTCCTGCTGGACACACTATTGTTGATACAATCCAGGATGCCATTGGCCTTCTTGGCCACCTCGGCACACTGTTGGCTCATGTTCAGCTGCTGTCGACCAGTACCCTCAGATCTTTTTTTGCTGAGCAGCTTTCCAGTCACTCTTCTCCAGGCCTGTAGCACTGCCTGGGGTTATTATGATCTGAGGGCTGGACCTGGCACTTGACCTTGCTGAACTTCATATTGTTGGCTTCTCAATCCAGCCTGTCCAGATCCCTCTGCAGAGCCTCCCTACCCTCCAGCAGATCCACACTGCCACCCAACTTAGTGTTGCTTTGCAAACTTACTGAGGGTGCATTCGATCCCCTCATCCAGGTCATTCACAAAGATGTGAAGGAGGACTGGCTCCAATACTGAGCCTTGGGAACCCTACTAGTGACTGGACACCAACTGGATGTGCACCATTCCCTACTGCTCTCTGTGCCCAGCCATCCAGCCAGTTTTTAACCCAGGCATTTTTTTAACCCAGTTAAACTTTCAATAAGTGAGTTAAAGAGAAGACTGAAGCAATATATTAACAAAAGAGTTTGAAATTATTTGAGGATGGTTAAGACTAACGAGCACACCACCTCAGCCTTACTTTTAGATTTTGAGATGGTTCTCTTTTTTTTTTCCCCTTCTTCTTTCTTATTAACTTTGCAACATTCTTTTCAGAAGGACTTTGTCCACAGAAATCTAACTTCAGTTAGATTCAGACTGGGAGGTTGCTTTTACCCTCCGTTCCCACTTCACCAACCATTCACGCATGCTACAAGAGCCAACAAGGTCGACAGCTCCAGATACACCTGAACTGAAATAGGAGACTCCAAGGTCCCTAGAGAACTGTTGACACAAGCTGATGTCACTAAGTGGTTTTTTAACTAAACTTTTTTTCTTTTGACTTCAGTCACACTGCCATTCAAGGTTTTCCTTATTTACATGGATGGTAGCTATCTTTTTTTTCCTAATTTCTTTCATCTTGGTATTGAATCATCTATGACAGTAACAGTTATAACACCACAAATAAAATTAAGAAACATTGCACACTACACCCTCAGCACTACAAATTGTAATTTAGGTATATGAGATGCAGTAAGAAGTCAGCATTAATATTTAATGGCAAGTCTTATCTAAACATTGTGACATAAGAAACTGGTGAGAAGAAACTGAGGGATGTTGGCCATGTTGCGACGGAATCACATCAAAGACAAGTAGAAACAGACTTTGCTACACCATGCCTGGATATCAGTTTTAGAGATTGGACTTTTTCTGAAAAACTTTCAGGATGTGTGAATGCCAGAAGCCCACATTTAACCCCCTAAAAAGACAAAGCGTTGGCTGAAAATCCGGTAGAGCAAGTGGCTTCTGGCTGCCCGAGTACAACACCAGCTTGCAGCAAAGACAGACAAGAAACGGTAGTCAGGCAGTTATTTTGCCTCCTCCACTACTGCATTGTGTGAAAATATAGTCCATTAGGCAGTAATAAAATGGACAGTCCTTACCCATTTTTCTTCAAAGGAGGCAACATTTGTATAATAAACTATAGTCTGTTACACCTCCATCCCCAGCAGTGAAACACCCAGCAAGAAGTGAGGAAAAGGAAGTCTATCCTGACCAGTTTGCTAATTATCATTTTCCTCTGAATGGTCCTAGTCTACCTGGGGCTTGCATGATAACTGCCCTGTCCATTTCCATCATCTCAGCTCATCAGGTGGCTTGACATGAAGTAGCAGGCAAAGAAACACATGATCAAGTTGTCCATCTTCACTGAACTGTAACTCTGATCTCAAATAAAAGAAAAAGCACAGCAGTAGAGTCTTAGAAATGCCAGTCTGCTGCAGCTGATTCGTAGTTTTGCCATAAGACAACGTGTGAGGAAACACTGTATACGTGCTTTCTGACCTTGTTTCAGTACCCTGTGAGACTGATTCCTTTTTATGCTAAACAGAACCAGGAAAAAAAAAATTTAAAGCTCTCATCCAGTAATTTAAAACTTAATTGTGCCTGGAGAAGTTAAAGGAACACTTTGGAAAAAGCAGAGGGCCTCACTGTTGGAGAATCTCTCAAGAAATGAATGAGATTTTTCAAGCTATCTGAGCAATTTGGATGCCTTGTTCTTATCACCTGTGATAAGAATTAAAAACTCAACTTCCCTTGGCAGCTTAGAAGAATCACAGTTTAGTGACACATGCTTCTTTTGCCTGTCTCCTAGTTCTGCCCTCTTCCCTTCTCAGTTTCAAATGACTGTGATGCCAAATGAAGATCTCTGGATTTGGTTAAGTTTCACTGAATGTTCACATGGCTTTGGGAATCTGATCTCAAACCAGAATCTTAAACCTCCTTCAAGCCAAAAATAAAAATAAAAAAAGAAGTTTGAGTAAACCTCCTCCTGCAAGTGAAATAAACCAACTTCTGTAAAAGCCTTGCTACTGAGATAGCTACATGCCAAAAGCAATCTGCAGGGGATTTGGGGGGGGGGTTGGGGGTTTTTTGATTTTTTTTTTTTTAATAGGAGCAGGTGGTTGGATATAAGGTCAGCTGAAAATAAAAATCTGTATTTATAGCATCAGCAGAATGAGGAAAGAGCTTGCATAGTCAAGAAAATGATCAATGTTATTTCAACTTAAATTGAAGAATACTTTGTCTTTCATATTCAAATAGGTTATAGAAAAGTACAAAAGAACAGACTTTCACCTCATAATTTGATTATTTGTATTTGTTCAGCAGGTACCAAAATTGTCATGAAGCAGTAATGTTGAAGTAAGAGACTGAAAACCGATTTTCTACTGTAACCAGGCAATATAAACCAGGAGACACCATTCTGTTGCTCCCAGTTACACTGGAAATTTGATAAATCAATCTAGGTTTTTTGCTTTCTACTAAGCAGGCTGTAATGGAAATTAGTTTTAATTATTTCTCATCTTGTGGCATATCTTTTATTCTGAATTGCTTTAATATTTACCACTGCTAACTGAGCTGGACAACATGAAAATGTACATTGTGGAAAGACAAGGAAAAAAGGCAAATGGAAATCTGTAACCTTAAAGAAGTCTGCCTATTTCTAAGCATGGCATTTGCAAGTCAGCAACACTATCTCCTCATATATAAGCCAAGAACAATGGCTTAAAAGCATTGTGCATAAGCAGCTGCATATGCAGCTGTGGAGATGGTTGTGAACGTGTACACACCTTGGCAATTTTAATCTTTCAGAAAAAAAAATTATGGCTTCTCAAAGAATTCATTTATGACACTTCAATACCTAAAATCAAACAACACTTTGACGGCATTACACTGGGCACTGTATAAGTAGGAAGTAAATTATACCACTGATCTCTTGAGCTTGCAGCCATAAAGTAAGAAGTTGGCTTTTGAGCAAGTACACATGATAAGAAGTCTCTCATTGTTTGTGGAGGGAATGCCATAGTGCAGTATATTAAAATATCATCACACTTACTAAAATCTGTTTGCAAGCACATGTAGTTCATATGTACATGTTTGTGTGTGGAAAAAAAATAGTTATATTTGTTTTGTTCTTTTCTTACTTAAAGTATTAAATGTATATTGTTTTTGAAAGGTGACAAAGTTAACAAGAAAAAATCGTGCTGTAATTTATTTTAATATATATGATCATGAATATGGATGGGAAATGAAACAGCCTTGCTGTCATGATCCATGAAGCACATGAGAATTCAGATTTGTCCATAAGTTCACTTCATGTTTGAGCAAAATATACTAATATAATGGGGGGGAAAAAAAAAAAAAAAAGAAAAAAAGCTTTGTTTGTCAAGACAGTTGTCCTGAATGTCATTTTAAAAGTTACTTTAGGGCTTATGTCATGATGTGTATCATGCTTATCCACAATGGAACCCAAATAAATAATTCCATGGAGTGGCAAAATTTACTTGAAAAAGTGAAGAGAATTTACATTGTTTCAGCTATTGTAGTTGATCTTTTTTTTCCCAAGGGGTAGTGCAGGAAACTAAGATAAGAACAATACAGTTTTCTTAACATCAGACCTTAGGTCTTAGTGCAAAGTCTTCACAACAAGGTGTCATCTCAGACCTACCACTCTTGAACTGAGAATATAAAACATTACACTGAGAAAAAGAAGACTCTAGCAGGTATTTTTCATCTACTCACTCTCCTCTTCATTGCATGGACCCCTCAAACACAGAGAAAAAACTAGGTCTCATTCAAACGTGGTTTGGGGTTTATTCTCCATACCAAGTATCAGTCAGCCTGATCCCTCACTTTTACTTGTGCAGTGTGTTCAGGTAGTCGATGGGGATACCAATCAGGCTAATGCTGGAAGAAAGAAAGCCTGCCACTTACCAGCACCACAGAGAGAACAGCAGAAAGATAGATTTCACCAGCTGTGTCACTTGGAAAGCAACCAATACTGAAAATCTGCATCTGAAACATGGTTTCTGAGGAAATCACCAGTATTCAAACTCCTCTATAACTGCACTAGAAAAATTAAGTGGTGGAAAGTATAATCTGCTGAGCTTGAAAGCTATTTCAACCCCCTGAGGCTTGCCACAATCCACCAAATCTACAGCAGAGATGAGTCTGAAGAAGGACACAGGCTGTAATCTAAACTATTGCTACTCCCATTTTTCCACAGCTAGGTACTTTTACCAACAGAGAATTTTGTTTATGCTTTCTGGGATAATCTGAAATAAGATTTATCACCCACGAACCAATTATATTCTAAACCAGGGTCTTACTCACTAGAAAGGAAAACAGTTGTTAGTGCTACCTCAGGAATTGAAGCAGCAGCTTGAAATCCTGATAGATTGCAGAGAACATAGACAGACAGGGGCTGAACAGACAGGGGCTGAATCTGAGCTCTCTTGTGCCTCCCGAAATCTGTCTTATCCTTATGTATTTGCCTTTGACACCCCAAAAGATTTCGGCTGACTTGCACCACTGTACCCTCCTCTGCAGCAGAATGTCAAATGCAAGGAATTTTTTGGCTAAATTTACTATTGATTATTTTAATAACCTACTTTATTAATAATCTTTTAATTTCCTTTAATTTTTTAATCTGACTGGCAGTCTAATATACTGCAATACTGCCTTTTGTATGACATGAAAAAACAGCTATTGCACCCACCCCTGGATTGAGAACATTGACTTTTTTTCCTCAAAAGGTTCCTCCACTCTAAGATTAAGATTTCTTTTATGCAATTATAGTTCATTTTTTGGACTACTGACACTATATCAAGGGGTGGAACCTGTTCCTATATCATAAGATCTATTGAGCAAATTCCAGTTTTACAGTAGAAGAAACTACTAGTTTTCTCCATGATAACCAGGTAGAGAAAAACACCATCACTGACAAACTCATTAAAACTGAAAAAAAGAAAAATAAAATTAGAATTGTAATATCTATGGGTAACCTAAATGAAAAACACCACTTCAGATTTTTAAAAGCATCCAAAATTTTCTACAGTACACTCACTTTCAAAAATTTTTAAGAATATTTATACTTATACAGATCCACTATAGAGGATTTGTCACACAGTTAATACCCCTGTATTAGATACCACAGATACCTTTAAATAAACAAATCTTTGCACCTAAAGTTTATTTTAAGAAATGCCTAGGTTTAATATTTTTATATTTTAAAAAGTTAATGGGAAGTGGGAAATCACATTACTTACCAAGTAATAAACACAATTCACAAATACTGAGTTATTCTCACGTGGGGGAATGCTCACAGTGAATTTCACAGTCATAAAACTTTCCCATATACAGTTGTAGATGACATGCTATAGAAAAGGGCTTTGTTCATCTCCTGCACTATCTGGACTGGGGGAGGAGCTGGTAATTCAGGTACAAATAAATCTGAAAATACTGGATTAAGAAACATAGAGTTATTGCAAAGGAACTGATCTTTCTGTCTACTGACTCAGTAGCAGTCTGGGAGTTTTGGCCTAAATTCCTTCTTTCCTAGATATAGGGAATTCCTCATAGAAAGCCTTATTTTGCCTCTGTTCTTGGAAAGGTAAGCTTCAACATTAGTAATCAATGGGTAATGAAATACAATAATTTAGTAAAATACAAGATCGGATAGTAGAGAAGAATAGGAATTAAAACTTGTGTAAAACATTATATTACACTGGTACTTAGCACACCGTCTAAGTAACTCTGAAATTATTTGGGTTTGCAGGATCTCATTTATTAATTAATAGCTAGGGGATGCATTCAGCTAGTTAAAGCTGTAATCACCAGCTAGAATATCTTATTTACCTCATCAGTCCCTAAGTGGAAGTTATATTTTTCTGAGCTATTTTCCAATAACTTTCCTATTTATATAACTCAAAAGCACAAGTGATGGAGAGCACACTTATTTTATTATAGGAAGACAATGATAGTAAATTTAATCTATTACTTTTGCTAAGAGAGTTCCTTGCTGTATGTACAAAGATTAATAGATTATATAAATTATCTAAATTATTGCTATCACTGAAACCAAACAACATCTCACTTTAAGAATCTATCAACCTTTTATACATCTGTGCAGTGCATCAGTTTTAATGCACTGGAAATAATACTTTGCTTTCATATAGAACAGGCATGCCACGTAAAAGGGTTAGAGACAATGCAGCCATCTGAGTTACACAAACGTTTGCATTTTAATGGGCCTTATTGAATTTTTGTCGGCTTTTTGGCAGGCTGTCACATTTCACTAAAGTATATCAGATCATCTTTGCCTGGCTTGAGGAAGAGTTGTCAGTTAGTAACACAAGCAGAAGGCTGGAAGTCAGGATTTCTTGGCTGTAATCAAAACCCCTAGGCCTCTAACTCTCTGGAGAATACAATAATAATATTTATTTTTCAAGAGGAAGATTCTGCCATTTCCCTAAGGATTATAAAGCCAAAGAGTTATGGTTCACCCATGCATGTGTGAGGAATGATAATTCTGATGAAGGTTGGTATGTGGTAATAGGCAGTGTTATCAGGCAAAAAAACGCTTTTCTAAGAAATGCAACCCCTGCTGCCCGAAGTGCTCCAGAGGAGCACTCCACTTGGCAATGTAGTGACAGCAGTGGTCTGCCCTGTAGTCAGCGTTTCCAACCATTCCAAATTAAAGACTCTTGTAGAGCAGTGGCAGTATATAAAAGAAAATTGTCATGAGATATGCACACCAACTAGACTCTGTCTTTTATGCAGTTCAGTGGTATATTGCATGAAAAGACCTCTTAATGCCTCACTTAATTAGTGGCTTTGCAATGCTCAAAAACATGATTATTTCCTAATCTATGAAGATTTGTCTCTTTGCCTTTGATTATAGATGAGAAATGCTGAAATGAATGCAAACAACACATCAACTGTCAAGTGTCACATCAAGCATTAAGAATCCCACTACAACTACGAAAACATTTCTCTTTGGTCCTTATATGAGACTACGCAAACTAGGTCACATAGTTTCTCTACTCTCTAGCCAAAATTTCTTAAAAGAAAGCTAACATTTCCACAGGTTCTCCAACTTTTTAATAGATAAAGTAACAAGCATACACTTTTCAAATTACTGTTGCCAATGTTTATCATAGGGAATTTGTCCTGACACTACTCTGTTTCCCACAACACTGAGTCGTGGCCAACCTCATCTTCATCTTTTAATCAAGAATGTTTTGCTTACAAACAAGCCAAACACTTGGAACTTCCCCATTCCCAGCTTCTGCTTTAGAACTGAAGCCAGAAGACTTTGCTGTGATGTCAGTGAAGCACATTTGATAGTTAATGACTGGTTACTGCCTTGCATCCAGCAGTCATTGGGAACTATTTCTGAGGTATGGTTTTAATCTGGCATGATTAAAAATAGCAACTAGTCCTTGGGAACAAGATTAACCAGTACATCCATTTTGTCATTCAAGATCATCAACTCAAGACACTGGAAGGTGTGTTCAAGTCATTGAAAACAGAAGGAAGTACTTGCTGGATGTGCATGTCATCTCAGAGAACTGTAAACAAAAAGGCATGTAAGAGGTCAAGTTCTCCTTTAAGTGTTAAATTACTGAAGCAGAAACCCAAACCACTGCAAACAGTAGGAGGTAAGCATTAAAAAAAAATAAAAAAAAATAAAAAAAAACCAAACCAAAACAAAAAATACATAAGAATTTTGCTCTGGTGGGTTTTATGGTGTAACAATGAAAAGTCAGAAAGATGAATAAGAGATGTACTCATCTCTTATTTTTAATTTTATGGCGAAATTATTTTCTCAATGTGATAAAATGCTCCCTCCAGATCCTGTATTAACACAAGGATTCTCCTCTCTTCTTGTTCAAAAAGGAGAGCTACAAATCACCTCATTTCAGTACAAATACTTCTTAAAATACATTCTCTTCTGTTCAAAACATCAAACCTTCCTGGATTTTCAACAGCTGTTGTAATTGTTTTTCATAGAAATCGATTTTAATTGTAACACTGTTCTGCTACAGCCCTATTGTCTGTGTCCTTTGAATTGTCAATTACTTAAATGAAGAAATAAAGGCTTGAAAGTGCATTGTCGTATTTGATTTCTATGTTTCAACTGTCTTATCAGAAAGAAAGTTAAGAATTTCATCTGTTGAGACACAAAAATACTTTCCTTAAAAAAAATAATAAAATAAAGATAAAAATCCATTATTGTTTCACTTGTGGTTTTTAAGACAGAAGTTTGAGGTTGTCATTCTAGTCCTTTGCTATAGTTTTGGAAATATGCATAGTATTTCAGTGATTATATTGATTATAAATAAAAAAGGGTTTTCTTAAATAATCCAATAAGGTTGAATTCCTACATATATAATCTAGTGTCCCCCTGCTAGGATAGTACTTGTTATGTCAGTGTCATCTCTCAGCCTGCCCTTTCCTCACACTTTCCAACCAGTGTGTGACTGGTAAGTTCCACATGTGGTGCTCCCATTCAGTCCCAAGACCATCAAATGTAAGGATTTGTTCCAGTGCCGCCTTCCCTTGTAAGCGTGGGCAAATGGGATCTGCATGCTGAGGAGCTGCTGATCCAGGAGCTTTTAAGTTGTCCTTGCCACACTGACAGCTCTTTCCCTGCTGTCCTGTCTTCCTTTGGTGGTCATCATTGGCTTACAGGAGGCACATCTATCCCCACAGATGAAAACAATTTTTCTTTGCTTTGGAGATGGACGAGCTCTGAGCCACTAGCTAGTCCTGTTCTGTCCAGGCACTTACACATTTGGGCTCTGGTTTTGTGCTGATGTCTGGCTTCCAACCAAAAGCTGGAACACTTCCAATGGCAACCAACCTATGGGGAAGGCTGCTAGTGGGGCATAAATAGCAGGCAGGAGTACCTGAAGCAGAGGCGAGCCTTGGGACAACTGTATTTTTGAGCTACAGAGTGTTTTCTAACAGCAAAATCCCCTACCAAGAGGAAGTAGATGTCAGAGGTACTTAATCAGGCTCAAGACAACTCAGTCAAGCCCTTGGTGACAAGTGTAAAACACCAATACTGAGCAGAACACAAAAAAATTAGGGGAAAGAGTGGAAAGGTGCCTTGTGGGAAGCCCCAGCAAGGTGTGCAGAGGTACAAAAGGTGGTGGGGCCAGAAGGCTGCCAGGGTACACACTGCTGCCATGGCTCACTGCAATGTGCCAAAACCATGAACTGAGCCACACTCAGTTCATCCCCAGGCACTAGCAGAGTGTGCCCTACCTGGTTCATGCCTGAACTCCACTGTGTGTCTCTACAAGGCGTGCAGAGTCAAGTGCAGCTTTGGTTGGTGCTCGTTCCTGCTTTGAGGGCTGCAGGTGGCAGACCTTGGGCCCATCCCCAGACCTTACCCTGTGTTTCCATGGTCCTACCTGTTGCAGGAAGCCATGCACTGCAGGGCACTTGCAGTGAGGTGATACAGTGAGCCAGCAGGAAGCCAGACTGCCCTCTCTGTGAAAGCCTGTGTAGCCCATCAAGTTCTCAGCGTGAGCAGAAGCTGACTTCAGAGTACTACAAAATGCCTGCCACAGAGCCATCAGCTACTGGCACCCAACAAAGAGCTCCCAGACACCCAGAAGCCCCCATCTTTCATCACCCCATGGCCTCCTGCTATCCTTTCCATAGTGCACACCATTCCCAGATGAGCAGTGACAGTGTCCAGAGCTGCAGTCGGTGACCCCCAGTGTGGTATCTGGGGAGCCCTTTTCCACAGCCGTCCTGATACGCTCAGTCTGATGGTGCAGTTGGAGCTCCAGGAAGTCTATGAAGCCAAATAAGAGTTCACCTTTTGTATCTGGGATCTTCCAGATGTTTAAGGCTAATGCTCTTTAAAAAGCTCTTGTGAAATGTCTGCCATTATTGAAGAGAGAAATACTGGCTCAATAATCCCTTAGAGATGCACTGCTGAGAAGTGATACCTTTAGACCAAGAGAAAGGAGTTGTGGCTTTGCAGTACAATGAAGGTAAAGGACAAAGATGTTCTCAAACGGGACTGTGAAAGAAATAATTTTATCGCATGGGGGCCCAGAGCAAGTTTGAACACAAAGGTCAACTGGAGTGAGAACAATCAAAGCCAAGTGTTCTGTACCCCAGAACAAGGGATTGTAAAAAATATACCCTGTTGCTGCTATGTGTATGCTGGAGGTTGTCAAGTAACTGCATACTTCTTTGGTCTATGCATATCACAAAACTTTTGAACTTGGCATGGGTTTTATGCCAGTTAGACGAAAAGAATTATTTGATTTCTCAGAAACAAAAAAGACATCACAGCCCCTGCATCTGGCACATAGCTAACGCAGCTAAAGCCATTATCACCTGCAAATATTCATCATGCACCCCTGCTTGAGATTATGCACAATTTTCTTCCAGAAAATAAAATACATTCTTTAGAAGATCAAGAGCTTATGGATACATTTTTAATATCAGAAACAATATTGTGTGCTACTGCAATACTGCAACAGTTTTCTCTTACAACTTAAATCCAGGTTAAAAAAGCAGTATATTGGATTTCTTAACTGTCGCTTTTAGTGACAGCTCACATCTTTGTGGGTACATCTCAGAAATCAGTCAACTCTTTCTTATCCAGAACTGAAACATAATGGTGCAGGAGGTTCTTCTTTGTTGGCATTTTGGTTTATAATTCATATATTTTCCTGTGTTTGGTAGGCTTCATTGTTGCTGTGTCCTCCCTACATGAACTTTACAGGAAAATTATGAAGAAGTATTCCTCTGGTTTGTACATTTTTAGGTATAAGCATCTTCTACATCAAATGAAGACAGTAACAGTCTTTGTCTGTATAGTCCCTTTGAGCTCTTAACAGATTTGCCTTCTCCCCTAAAAGTGTGTCTGGCTTTCCTCATGACAGGTCATGTAAAACTCCTCTTCTAGAAATGGCCTTTGAAAACCACTTAAGGTCATCCATATTGCTTTTATACAAGAGTAACATGGCCAAATTTAATTTTCATACTTCTTCAACTTTCAATGGCCAGAATCAGAAAATCAGCTTCCCTTTTGAAAAATCCTTTTTTTATTTTTTATTTTTTAGTGAGAAGGTACTCACTTTTGATGAGAAGAGCACCCCGTCACATCCTGAATGCACCATCTTAGCTGGTGCATAGAGAAAAGAAACTGCAGCGCTTCTCAGGATGCTCTAACACATGGTAAGGCAATTCACAATGCCTGTAGCCCAGTCACTTTTTCTGTATGATTTAGAAGAGAAGCAGCTATGAACCACTTCTCAGCACTATGTGAGTTTCATCTCCCGTGTTAATCTGTTTCATTGCCATGGCTCACACCACTATCTTTCCTCCATCCCAGAAACTCCTTTCTATTGTACTCATTTGTCCAAGGCAAACTCTCATTTTCTGTTTCCTACTGGTACTTTGATACAATCCCATCACTGAGTGCAAATTATCCTTTGCTAATACCAGTTTCATTTCCTGTCATGAAGATTCCTGTCCACAACCTTTTGCAGTTTTATCCTTAGCATTATTGTGTCTGTATGTTGTGTTCCAAAAGAATGTGATTCTTATATTTAGAAATTCATTAATATTCAGAGCCTGTGCGCTGTACAATGTGCTTATTAAATAATGAGCACATAGCACGCAGAACTCCCACTCTCTCTCTTGCATTAGTAAGAGATGGTTGCGGCAAGCATTAGTAAATTAAATAAAATTGTTATTACATATTCACTACATATGCCTTTGAAGCCTGTATGTGTTGTGCCATGAATGCATAATTAGCACAGGGAACACAGACCAGAACTCCACAAGCTTCTCTTTGGTGCTTTATGACACCTTTGACTGCAAGAAAAAGTTCATTCATCTCCAGTCAGCAAGAAATTCAATTGAATGAATGTCAAATATAAGTACTTGCAGCATACAAGGCTTGAATATAATTGTAAGTGTGAGATTTAGTTGCTGTCTATAACAAATGTTTGTATACAGTGATTTAAATTGTAATAGACAATACCAAATTTTGAAATTTAATTCAACTACTTATGAAAATTGTGAGTGATATAAATTGAATCTGGGAACAACATTTGCATGTATGGGTCTCACTTACAAAAAGGGTGAGACAAAAATTTCAGCTCAACACCCTGCTAAAGATTTGACTGTTTGTAACAACCAGTCTAGAATTGTTGATCCCATTCTTAGTACAAGAATAATTAAGTTCCTGTTATTTGGAACAAATTCCAGGTAGATTTTAGAAAGGATTGGATATGGAGAAAGTATTGGGTTTGTAGGGTAAGGTTTTGGTAGCAGGGTGGGCTACAGAGATGATGACTACTTTTAGAAGCTGCCAGAAACTTTGTCTGTATCCAAGGGAGCCAATGCCAGATGGCTCCAAGAGGGATCCACTGCTGGCCAAGATTGAGCCCGTCACTGGTAGCACCTCTGGAGTAATATATAACAGAATGGGAAAAGAGCCCCATCAACTTCAGCCAGAAGAGGAGTGAGAACATATGAGAGGGAACAGCTCTGCAGATGTCAAAGCCCGTGAAGGAGGAGGGGGAGGAGGTGCTCCAGGTGCTGGAGCAGAGATTCCCCTGCAGCCCATGGAGGTCCACGGTAGAGCAGAGATTCATCTGCAGCCTATGAAGGACCCCACACTGGAGCAGATGGATGCCTGAAGGAGGCCTTGACCATGTGGAAAACCGTTGCTGGAGCAGGGTCTTGGCAGGACCTGTGGTGTCATGGAGAGAGGAG